CTCACTCATGTTAATGTGCATCAGAAAAACCTGTTTGTTGTTTTTGAAAAAGGGTGTAATGTAGCGGCCTCGGCATAAATATTTTTATTTTTTGTTTAACAATACGAGGATTTGCAAATACTACACAAAACTAATCTACTGCTTTCACCTTCCGGTTGTTTTTTTATTATATCAACTATTTACATTATGCCAGCACAGATAACACAAACACGGTCTTTTAAAGAAATAATGTCACAGAACCGTTTTAATGGTTACTTTAAGAGCAGCTGTGTGCATCTTTCGTTATTTAATGCTGTAAACAAATTTTCTACTATAAACTCATTGGATATTTTTGTGGATCAGTACTACTATATCCAGGGTTGTAAACGGCGTTTGACAAAAATACTTTCTTTGTAGCATTTAATGGGCTTTGAAACCTCATGTTAAAGCACCGGTTTAACACAACAAAACTGAACCAAACAATGGATTTGTGTATGAAACCGACCCGAGCTGAAATATCCAATGTCTTTAAGCACAGACCCACACTGCTGGGTCTTTAACTTTAAACAGCCCACAACAGACACACCCGACTACACGTGTGTATTCGCTTACAACGCGACGCTTCTCAGTTCCCCAAACAGTTTGAAATCGTTTCTCAAAATAAACACAAATGCCTCTAACCACGAACATTAATTTTGTTTTCAAAGCAGTGAAACTATTTTGCAATAAGCGAGTCAACGCTGACCAAGGCACTTCAGACAGAAACTGCGCAACGGGCAAATAAAATACATTTTTACCAGCAAAATCAAAGCACCACGGACTAAACACCACAAAACACAAGACAGCCTAAACTTTGTAGAACCGTGTTGTGTCACCAGATACAACCGCACAGAGCAAACGAACCTCTTTAATAGAAATATTCACCTCGCGTTTCAGTTTAAAACACGCCAAAGCACATAGCTCATGTATCAGCTTTCCAGCAAATGTCCCCTAAATTGCCTAAAAACGCCTCCCCTTACCTTGGAAACAACGTTTTAGAACAGTTTAATACACGACAGAGCACATCGATAACTTACCGGTAACATTTAAAGCAAAGGTTCGCTAAAGGTGCATCAGAACGGTTTCCTTCACCTCGAAACACCACCCGTCTGTTCTCGCAGTAAAAGCAGCGCACCTGTTCGCTTGAACACACCTCACGGCCGGAATGACGACCAGCCCCTCCCACCGGCTCAAATAGCCCGGCTGTGGACACCGCTCCTCTAACAGGTGGAAACCTCTGTCACTCAGCGACCTCCGGCCAATCAGAGACTGGGCTCCATCGCGCACCCGCCCGCTGTGCTTTCCCAGCCTGTTTCTCATTAAGACCTCAGACCAGCTCACGGTCACCTGCACAGGTGCGATGACAGGCTTGTGCGCGTGTAGGCTCCAGGACAGAGACATTGAGGAAACACCAAAAACACAAAC